CTTGACCTTCCACCCATAATTTCTGACCGAGGTCAGAAATTATACTTACCTGGTGATATTCAACAACCTCGAGTACCAAGTATTACACGAAAAATACATAGGAATGTATAATAATAATGCATACCCCTTGAGGTCACGAGTCTAGGCATGTTTGTATTGTTTGATATCCATTGGATATCCGCAGATATCCAATGGATATGAGGTCCATATCCAAATCCTCAAGGCTGCGGATATTGGATATCAAAAAATATCCAAATCCGCACTTTGCGGATATGGATTGCGGATATCCGCGGATATTGCGGATCGTGCCGCAGTCTACCTCCTAGAAGTGATTTTCTAACCACGGTTAGAAAGTATTATTCGGAGTAAATATAAGAAGTTAAATGTAAGAGAAGAGAAACATAGCTTTAATATAATATTAATTAAATGTAAAAATTAAATAAGAAAAAGAGATTTCTATTTATATTCCTAATATGTATACTCCCCTCTACTATAAAAGATATGTTTATAATAGTCTATAGTTAATAAGAACTTACATTAATAGAATACCACTATACTATAATTAATATAGTATAAAGCCTATTAGCTTTGAATTCGGAGTAATTGTATAAATTTCTGACTTAATATTATAATAACTTAGTAATATTCGATAAATAAACTAGAATAGTTGTAAAAATAAGTTGTTTATTTAAATTACTTAGCATTATTATAAACGCTAAGACCTATATTTTATGTAAAAATGGGTTTAAATGGGTTATTATTAGGTTATTAGGTTTAAGGTTAGGTTTTGGGTTAGAGGTTCCGACCCAAAATGGGTTCTGCCGAAGTCTAGCATAGAGAGTTACAGCCATACCCAATGATATATCACTGTAGCCTAGTATAGCGGCCTAAGCGGCCAATGCGCTGACCCGGAGGATCATGGCCCCTCCCGCTCACCCGCGCACCTCCCTCGTGCACACCCTCTCTATTCCGCACTCACCCAGGTGACACCCACCGAATCATTGATCAAGCTTAAGCCACACGCCGGTGAGTAAGTACTTGGGTGGGTGACCACCAGCGAATCCTCACTGTTGTATGTTTTTGTTGATGTGTTGTAACGCTGCGCGTCGGGACCCATCTCCTGTCCACATCTGGCGGGTGAGTGGTTGAATAGCATGGTTGGTAGCTGAGATCATCACTCTTGTTGATCATAGAGTACACACTTATTCCAATCCCAGACCGGTTCAGTTTTCTTTAGGCTCTACAAGAAGATCGATCAAATTTACAAAACCTCTACCTCGACGAGCACTTATTCTCAGGATATCGTTTTTTATCAGATACTAGCTATCCCTTTCTCTTCTTTAAATTATCGGGATGCTAGATCATAAAGGAAAATCTTGATGAAATAAAGACATTCTGAATGCATTTTTAGACTGATTAGTCTCTTTCAATCAACTCTCAATGATTATCCTATTTTGAACACAATGAGGAACCGAATAAAATTGACCGTGAAGGATGCCCACTTCAAACCGCTCATGTCAAAGGCCGGTACGCTCCTTCAAATTCCATGTATGCATCAAACACACCAGATAGATCTAATCCAGGGTTGTATTCCTTATTGATGACGATCTGCCAAGTGGTAAATGGACCGACTAAACTGTATTGCTCGCGATCTTTGAGCTTCCCGATGATGCCGTCCCGTGTCCCAGCGACATCATACCGACCACTCCTGAGCTGGTACTTGAAATCCACTGGAATCGTGCTATGTGAGAATTCCATCTGTTTCTTTCTGGGATCGACCAGAGCCTCGTCACCCATGTGGGTCAAGGTGATGTGGAGCAGGCCATCAGCCGTCTTCGCTCCAGGCAGGAAACAGCGCACTCTGGTCAATCGCACATCCGACATGCCCCGGAAGGGGCTTGGGCCATCATCGGCGCTGAGCTGGTTTGAGGGGTCAATCTGGATAAACAGAAGCTCTCCTTGTTGTCCGCCTTTTTGGATGGAGCCACAGGTTGACGCATCGAGTTGATATCTGGCCGTGTTGAAAATCGTCCTGGCTTTTGTCTGATCATCGAGATATTCCGAGTAGGCGTGGTAAAGTGCGTTATGAGCCTGACTGACCAGTGCATGGGTGTATCGTGACGTATCGATCGTACCAAAAAACTCGGCGAGGATGTTGGACGAGTTGAGGCCGTCGAAATTATAGGCCCGCTGCGCTTTGTATAGCCAGCTCTGGAGCTGTTGGACCAATACCATGTAGGTTCGCTTCATAGCGACAGTCATCACTGGGCTATCGGTAGCCAGGGTTGACCGTTCGAGACCAGCCAATGTTTTCTCGGATTCACTTAGGGCAGCAATCTCTGTGTAGCACTGGATGATCAAGGCCACGCTTGTATTGTAGCGAATCACAGCATCGTTGCGCTTCAGAACAATGGCTAGATGGCGGATGAGTCAGTCTCATCCTGTTGCAGGGAAATGAAAACTCACCGATATAATCATCTAACTTCTTCTTGAGCTTCTTCAACAGATCAGAAGGCAGGGCATTCTCATATTGACCAACCAATTTGGCTAGCTCCCCTGATGCCAGCTGCAATTTGGCCGCTCCTGGATCAAGAAGGTCAATTGACCCCGATTTGCTAACCTTGTAGCCTTCATAGAGGCTATCTAGACTGCCAGTGATATTGTCAATCTGCTTGACAAGGTATTCCTTCTCCACTTTCACCCCAGAGTCATCGGGTATCTTTGGCAGGTCATTCTGCAGCAGGCTAGTGCCTTTAAGGAGCTCCATGGGATCCCTATATACACTGACTATCTGACCAACAGCTTCGAGAAGATGATCGAAAGGAACAATAGTATCCTTTCTGATTTCGACTTTGACATCGCGTGTCAGGCCTTCGATCTCGCCGTACGCTTTCTTTATGGGACCCGTCAGGCTTTGGATTTGGAACACGCAATCCTGCAGATGATCTTTGGCTTCTTTGATCAGAATCTTCTTGGTGGCTTTTCCAATCTGACAGGCCGTGGCACTCTTGCTGACATAGTCTTTTCGCTTGGCTGCGTCCGTGGAGGCTTTGAGATACTCTACATAGTAGTCTTCAGCACTCCCCAGATTTTTCAACTCCTCATCGATGATCTTTTTGTACGCCATGTATGTCCTTCTGGGGACGCGTCGTCGATCAAACCCATAAAAGTCCTTTCCGGACTTTAACAAGGTCAGAGTTGCTTCAGTTTCACTTTTGATGGCCCGAAGGTCTCGAATCGAGACAGGCTCTTGATCCTTCGGGCCACTTGGAATGCAAAGACGGGGTTCAGAGCTGCGATATGCCTTGATCAACTCAGAGTCAGGGGGAGGAGAGGTGTTCAGGAAATTGAGTCGACCCAGAAGCCTCTGCAACAACAGTTTGCATTGTGCCAGGTTCTTGTCGCCGTCGATGTAGAAATACAGCTTCGCTTTGTCAAGGAGCATACGGCATTGAATAGGATGGGCAAAGCAGATTGGGCTCTGCCAGAGCAGTTCTGGTTGAATGAGACTATGCACCACCTCTTTTCCCTTGGTCCCATGCACACCATTCTTTCCATCCTCGATACTTCCGCGAGATCCTCCACCACCATATCCTCCCCTGGTATGTGCACTCTGGGTAAAATCTGCCCTGGCCCTATCGTTGATTCCCTGCAGGGCGAGTGCCATCTGGACCAATGCGCGTTGAAATGACTGACTCTGCTTGTTCACGAGTGCTCTGTTGAGGGCCTCAAGCGACGAGGAAATGTTTGGGAGATTTTGACGTCGGCAGAAGACCGCGAGATCGCTAGTAGGGCTCTGGAATGAGAAAGGAAACGCATCGCCCTTGTCATGCAAGTCCTCGAGAAGTTTGGCAACCATTTGGTGTGCGGTAACAGCTGCAGTGCCAAACAGAACTGATACATTGCCGCCTTTCCCTCCATTCCCTCCAGTCTCTCCTTTTTCCGCATGAATGACATCCTCGGGGGTAAACCCCTTTCCCCCAGAGACTGCCATCATTATTGACTCAACACGTTGACCGGATACAAGGACCAGGATGTGGTTCACTTACCATTCAAAAAAATCGATTGCACTATTTCGTGGTCGATGTCTTGCACATAAAGATTCATGATTCCACCATCAAACCCATTCTTCACCAGAGTTTCATCTTTCTGGTCCGTTTGCTTGAAATACCCTCCATCGGCGCCACTCAAGTCGAGACCTAGTCGAGACCGGTCTTGACTCTCTTGGGCCACCGAGATAGTGTTTGTGTACAGACCGTACTGAGTCGGGTCTTTTGCATTTGTATTCTTTGTCGAGAGAGTTTTTTTCAATTGAAACCTCTCGACGTAAAGATCCAGGGGCGCATCCAGTCCGGCCTCGAAGTCTAGTGCATCTTCCGATACGGACAGAATTACGGTCGGATTGTGTGCAGGATACGCAATGGTGTCGGCATTCGGAGGGAGCGGCATGGTGTTTAGTGACCTGTCGCAGGACACATACTATAGGATGGCATGGAGTAAAGTTGATATTGGAAACTAAACGGAACTTGGATTCGAACCGAAAGGAAACATCAAGAGGCGTGTAAAATTTAATCCCCCTCTTTTTCCATCTCAAAGGTGGCTAGCTGAGATGAGATGAGCTGCTCCTATACCACGTCACATTGACCCGCAGTTCCCACCCAGATTCATCACGGACTCCGTATGGAGTACATGGTGAGTCTGTGAAGGTCCCACCGACAGCAACCACACTCCACCGACGGTGGATCTTCTACGAATCTGGTCAGGTCTTGTAACATCTCCGTTCTCAAGCGTGTTTTTTTTTAAAAAAAAATTTCTCCCTTGGCTCATTCTTTGTATAGACACAAAGAAAGGTGAAATAAAGACAGTAGTAAAAGTCAACCCTAGAGTCTCTATAGACACAGAGGAAACCAAAATCATTCAAGTAGATTGTATTACGAGGATGTTACCGGTAGTCACTCTTCGGATCTTGACAAACAAAAGTAGCTGAAGATGTTTGTAGTATATAGAGCATAAACCGGTAACAGTCTGTGGTGATACATGAATGTGCATACAACATGTAGCGTAAGACGAGGAGAAAGATGGGAGTACTCCGTAGAAACACGGAGTTCAAAAAACACAACTAGTCCTAGTTAGGGACTTTTCCAAGTTCACGGTCGGTGGAGTAGTGTTGTGACTGTCGGTGGGACCGAATATCCTCGTGAGTCTTCGACAACAAATGGATTTTCAAAAGACATTCTCATTGGCCACCTTAGGGGCAAGTACTCTACGGAGAACTCCGTGTTGGACACCCAAGAAAGCCACAACCAGGTGAAAACCACCGCACTGACATAAATAGTACTCCGTGAGTCTGCTGCAGGCCAACATGACCAGCTAAATCGGTGGAAGAAGAAATCTCCAAGTGTTATAATCTCATTCGGACGGGTTTGAACCCCCATTCACGTCCCTATCAATTCCGGCCTTTGTCACAACATGAGCATTCTTTCCAAAAAAGACTTTCATCAACGTCTGGAGGGCACCAAAGCTACCTCCGGATGGGATCTGCTGGTCTCCTACGATGAGGAACATCTCAATCGCGCGCTCGCAAAGAAATGGAAAAGGACAAACAAGGGCTCTGGAGTCAAGTTTAACCTTCGTTCGCAACCGGTGCAGACCATACAGATTGATCAGGAGTTTGATATAACCCTCTCGCCCCCTACATTGAAGTTTTCCACCTCGAGTAAGAATGCCTTATTGGGGATGGTGCTGAATGGCTCCTATACCACGACAGTGACTGTGTCTGGTCAGAAACAGCCTCCGGAGACGAAGACTCTCCCCATGAATGCGTACCGCCTCGAAGTTGCGCTGCCAATCAGTGCCGTCAGTGGAGATGGAAAGGTTTCTGTGAGTTTTCTAGAAAGAATCAACAAGCTCTAGACTCGGAACTAACACATACCCACGACAGCCGGGGGACAAAGTGATCCATTTTGACCAGACGGAAAAACATTACTCTCTGATATTTCATTTCAAAAACACCGAGGCGAAGTGGCATCTGACCAAGAATGATACCGAGAAACATGATCTGGACGACACCATGAAGACGGCCCTGACTCAAATCCAAGCCTGGTTTACCAGCAAGGATGATATCCATTGGATTGACGTTAGTGTGGCTCAACTCAGCAACAAAGCCAACCCAAATTCCGACACCGACACCCTCCTTCCTCGCTCCTTCGTCCTATCGTGTCAAGCAGGCTATCTGTTTGTCTTCATAGCCACCAAAAATCCACCGGGAAGAGAAGACCCCCAGTTTGGCCACAAAGGTTCCGAAACCATGGCCCCTGTTCCATCTGGATTCACTTCCAGCATCATCATTGGACATAAACTCTTCACGGAGTTTATGAAAGATGAGTTGAAGAAATCCTACACGGGATCACTCAAGGAAATCACAGAAAAGGAAACTAGTTCCGGGATCCAACTATCGCTTGCCATGACTGATAGCCAATCCTGGAATTTGAATACTCCAATTGGCATCACCACATACGACGTTGACAAAGTTGCTGTTGACTATACCAAATACCCCATTACACTACACGTCAAGGATGATAAATCGTTAGCATCCAGCGTATCTCTTACCTGGACCGCGGAGACAAAGGTCCAGTGGTATTCGTGCCATAAGATTGATCCTGCGACCTACACGTACGGACAGGTCGCGATAACGTCGGATTGGACCAGTGTGAGTAGACTTGCCCATGTCGCATGATCTGTACTAATGACAATTATGAATTAGCCCCCCAAAGGATTTGCTCATATTGCTGGAGACGAATTGCAGATAGGAATCGATGTTCCCAAGACGGAGCTGCCCTCCATGTCGTTCAAAGGTGAGAAGGTTGATCAATGGTGGAATCAGTACAAGGGAGTCACAGAAGTTCCCAAATTTTTCAAGGAACAGGTACAGTTCACGTTGCCATCTAATCTTTCATGTCAATTTAAAGGGTTGAATTTCTTTTCGGCCCAGAATGTGTTTGTGCCCGGGGTCCGGTTCATTCAGGCTACGGAGCAGATGGTGCCGCATGATGTCGTGCTTTTGGGGACAATGCCTGAGGTGGAGTGATGGACTGATTGTATATAGTCGACTGGTATATATTCAGTACAAATATCTTAACGAAAATTACCTAGGTTTTACTTTCATAGGATCCATGTACTATGCGAGCCACCCATCAGTAACCACCGGTAGACGTTTAAGGGGGGGGGGGGTTAGGCCTGTGGTAAATCGTTAAAGGCCTATAAGGGTAAACTACTAACTAGTTAGGGGGGCAACTCCTTGCTGTTATATGTTTTTCGTTTCTGTTTTCGTTTCGTTTCAAGTGTCATTGTCGCCCTACTCTTCAGCCCCTGTAGCCTATTTACCTAATTGCCCCCGAATAAACACATACCCACGACAGCCGGGGGATAAAGTGATCCATTTTGACCAGACGGAAAAATCTTCAAGAATAGAGCAGATCCATCGGGTACTAAATAGGCTCTGAGATCACTCGCCACTTGTGTAAATGACATAAAGCGCGTCCGTGCTCTTGACAGGAACTGGGCACTCTTTACAAGCCTCTGCCAGTTACGCTGTCCACTGCGCTTAGCAGGCTGATTTCAGCGCAGTTGGCCACGTTGCCAGACAATGACCCTGTCCGGCTTGAAGCTGCTTGCCTCGATGGCACCCTTGATGAGCGGTCGGTAGCAAATGGGCCCCTGAGACTCCTCTATTCCACATGAAGCCGCCATTTTAACTCTCGGGCGCGCGGCCTCGAAGCGCTGTGCAAGAGCTTGCGGGGGGCGAAGCCGCCGAAGACAGCGGTATAAATTGCGCCTGGGTGGGTCATTGCCAACGCAGCGATTACGGCCGCGGGGATCATTGGCACTAGATGCGATAAGTAATCAGTTTTGGATTCCTATTTTTACTCCATTCTGCACTCGTCGTGTCATGACGAAATTGTTGATTTGCCTGCTGTAAACAATCACAACATCGCCTTTCTGTACTCCTTCTTCTCTCAGTACACCAGCAAGAACCTCCGCCTCATCGAGTAGGCGAGTATAAGTATACTTCTCCGTTACACCGGTAACTGGAGATTTCCATACAATCGCAACTTTCTCACGATGGCCCGCGAGCACATGTCGGTCGACACAAGTGTAGGTTGGGGAGATTTCACCTGTCGGCGAACCACGACCAGTACTCGTGCTCGGTTCCACTTAGTAGAGACTTTGTCTGCTGTGTTAGTGCACGTGAAGGCCTGCGGTGCCAGTGGAGTCTGGCCGCGTGATGAGACCAAACGGTTTTCTGGGTCGCCAAGGGAGTGGGCGTGGATTTTTCGCTTATGGGTGCGGAGACATGTTGGATAGAATTCAGATTCGGATTCGGATTCGGATTCGGATTCGGATGGAGATGATAGGAGAAGTGGCAAATTGTTTTGCCCGGATTGTGATTTGATAGAGAAGGTACAACATAACGGAGAAACAGAAACAGGTCACGTAAGACATAGAAAAGTGTATTCGCTCAAACGACCTCTAAGCACTTCCTACCCGAGGTCTTTCAGATCCAATGGTGCGATTGGCACGGGAAGATGGGAAGTTAAGATCAGGGGTTCTGATCGACAAGATTTTTTAGGCATCCGCCATTTGCGGCGAAAAAGAGGTGAAGCCAAATGAGATCCCCTCTCGGATGCCGAGGCCAGTCTGTGCTTTTCCCCCGCACTTTCTTCGGGTACCCAAAAAATACCCAGAAAGTACTTCATGTGCAATATCAAGCAGGGCCTGGATTGAAGTACTGCGCTTGTATCCCTGGGACTTGATCGGATTTCTTTTGGAAGGTCTGGAGTAACAAAGGAAGAGGAAAAAAAAAACCGGTTTAAATTGTCTATATCGCATAAATAGCTCAAGATTGGAATCAAAATAAAACAAGCTCAATCGTAGGGTATCATATCGAAA